TGGGCATCAGGGGTCAGGTCTCAGCGGCCTGGAACTCCCTTCCCCATGGGTACGGGGCTCTGCTGGACTGGGGAGTGAGTGGTAGTGATGGTGTGTTGCTGGGGCAGATGCTGTATGGAGGGTGAATTGGGGTGAGGGCTCTAAGATCCCCTGGTGCCTGAGATCCCTTAAAGGGAGGGCCTCAGGAACAGAGGTGGAGATCACCCTTCTCATCCACTTCCCCAAATGAGAGGGGCAGGCCTGTCTCCTCCCAGAAGTGGGTGTCCCAGGGCCAGGGAGTTTCTAGACCTTGACCTTCTCTGAGCCCAGCATTCAGGGAAGGACTTAGGGACCCTCTGGATCTATGCTTCCCCTCCAGCATCAGCTCTAGCAAACCATGAGGGTCCAAGAGACTGCACTCCCAGGCTCTGCCCCAGCCTGCTTCCTCTCTACCCCCTGAGCCCCGCAAGGGGAGTTATTCAGTAGGTGGGGTCCCCAGGGAGTATTCTCCCAGACACCCAGCTCTGCCTGTCGTGGCTGCCATCCTTCATTCAAGGCATAATTCAAGGACCACCGCTCCCTAAAGGCTTTCCAGGTTTCCTTCACCCCCACCACCAACTGCCCTGCCCTGTCCTCTGCCAGCCTGTCCTGTCCTTGTCCTCCCGGGCTGGGTTGGGTTTGGCCAACTGGAGGCCTCTCCAAGGTGGGCTCCACCTCTGACCCTGGAGCACCTGGCACAGGTCAGTGCTGTTCTTCCCCAGGCTTCCATCATCTATTGTACCAGCTCCTAGAATGCCTGGCACATAGCCGGTATTTTATAAATATTCGTTGACTTACTCTTTGTTAGAGTGTCCCTAGAGATGGGTAGATCAACCAACGTGGCAAGTGCAGCCAGGGTCCTAGGTCTGAATCAAGGGTAAGGGAGGGGAGGATGGGGCAGGAGGTGAGGTGGGGAGTAGGCTCCTGTCACCATTGTCCCAGCAACTTCCATTAGCGGAGCAGTACTCACCACGTGCTGGGTAACTTGTTAAGCATTTTACTCATATTATCCTATTTAATCCTCTCAACAACCCTGCTAGGTAGGGAGCATTATCCCTATGTTACAGAGGAGGAAACCGAGGCTTAGAAAGGTTAAATGACTTGCCCAAGATCACACAGTCAGTGAAGGGGTGGAAGCAGGATTCAGTCCAGGTCAGCTGACTCCAGCGTGCACATTCCTGACCACAGCATTAAGCTTTTTATAGGACCAGCCCTGAGGAAGAAGCCCAGCCCCTCCCCCTCCGCTTCTCCCTGGGTTCTCCTGGGAGGAGGGCTGGCGGCTGGGGTGGGTGGAGCTGCGGTGGCTCCAGGTCTCTGATACTCTGCCCTCGGGCATCTTAGTAAACTGAGTAGTAGAAAAGCCCATTAAGATAATCCATTTTTCAGACAGATCTGGATTCAAATCCCAGCATTTCCACATGTTAGTTATAGGACCATGACTGAACCTCTCTGAGCCTCAATTTCCCAGTCTGAAAAATGGGTATATACCAATCATTTTAGGTGTTCCGGGTTGTTGTGGGGATCACATGCAAAGTGCCTGGCACAGAATAGGAGTTTAGCAAATGCCAGCTGTTACTAAGGTTTGGAGAACAGTGACCCGCGGGGCAGACTGGGGTTCTCTAGCTCCCCAAAGGTTTTCACAGGTGATGGGTGTAGTCACAAAACACCTGGCAGAAAGTGGGCCCAGTAGCCCCACCCAGCTACTCTGCCAGGTCCCCCACTCAAGCCTCTGTTCTTGAGTCCCACCAGTGTTGATGAAGGTGACCTGAGCAGCCTGGAGGTGAGGAGAGGTCAGGGTGGGGCTGACCCTGAGGGAGGTCACCCGGGCAGTCAATCCAGCCTGACAGAGCAGGGATGAGCAGGGTGGAATTAGGGAGCTTACAACATCCTTTCATCCCGCAGCAGCCGCCCGCCCGCCTGCCCGCCCAGCCTCCCTCCTTCCTTCCTCTCTCTTTCTGCCCTTTTTTTCCCTCTCCCTCCCTTTGCTGGCAGCCCAGCCCTAATAAAATGCAGTGTCTCCAGCAAGTCTGCCCGGCTGCCGCCTCGCTGCTCCTGCCTGCACGCAGCCCTCAAACCAAACTGCTCAGCTCAGCCCCGCCTGGCAGCTGCCACTTAACCCTTGCCAACCCGGCGTCCTTGGGCTGAAGGCCCTCCTCCCTTCTGTCTCCCTCGGGCACGGGGGGAGGGGAAGGCCTGCTTTCTGAGAGGAAGAGTGGTGATGTGGGGGCTGGGGGTCCCCACTGTTGTGAAGCCCCTGCCCGAGAACCCCTCAGCTCAGCGTGTGCCTGTGACTGCTCTCTAACAAGGACCTTCGGTGAGACCAGGTCCTCTGCCTTCTCAGACTCTGCTTTCTGCCTTACAACAGCCCCAGGGGCCAACAGGGTGGGGACTGTTGTCTCCATTTGACAGAGGAGGAAACTGAGGGCCTGACAGGCTGAGCTGGGTGGTGTTGCTGATCCTCCATTCAAGACCTTTTCCAGTGTAGAGAGCTACCTCTGCCACCGTGTGTGTGTGTGTGTGTGTGTGTGTGCGCGCGCGCGCGGTGACTTGAGTGATGTGTTTGTGCATCTGGTGGGCCTCTAGCTTGAATTTGTACATGTGCAGTGCTAAGGGGTCTCAGGTATGTGTTTGTGTCTACATATGTGCCTGCAGATGACATGTTGGCCTCAAGCAGGAGTCCATGTTTGTGTGATGATGCAGAGATGTCGTAGTGCATCTTGGTACATGTGTGTATGAGAGAGAGGTAGCTTCACAAGTGTGCGCAGGCATTCACGTTGCCCCCATCTGTGCCAAGATGTGTCGCTCACACACACCTCCATTCATTCTGTCACCTCCAGCTTGGTCTCCAGAGTCTTGGAGTCGGGCAGCTGGAAGAGGAGGGTGGCAGCAGCCAGAAGGCACGGAGTCAGGGCCCAAGCTCTCCCCGAGAAGTAAACACAGAACCCCTCGCCTGTTTGCTTTCATCATCCAGCCTAGATCCCCATGGCCTGGGGTCCCTGCCAACTGTGAAGCAGTGGTATTCCCCTTGCCTGAGGCCCCAGCCTCACCCCGAGCTGGGAAGGATAGACAGGAGGGTGAGGGGCTGGGGAGTGCCTGGGCGTGGAGGCAGGGGGTGTACACGCGTGTGTAAGCATGTCTGTGTGTGAGCCCAAGATCAAAGAGCAGCCCTGAGGTGACCCAGCGGCGGCAGTGGCGCAGGGCATGTGGCTGGCAGGGAACGCCAAGCCACCAAACAGAGTGGAGTCAGGGAGGCCACGGCACTGGGAGCCTCCCTCCCACCCAGACCTGCCCTCCTTGGGGACAGCCATGGGGTCAGGAGCACCTGCCACCTGGGGCCTGGGCCAGCCCAGCCCTTGAGCCCAGAGCCCCGCAGAGCCCTGCAGAGCCCCTCAGAGCCCCGCGGCTCAGAGCTCTCCCCTGCAAACACTTCCCCAGCTTCCAGGCCCTCCCCAAGAGCCCCGGCTGCCTCCAGCCTACAGTTCAAAGAGCTCAGTGGTTATTTTCTTCTTTTTTATTAACATTATATATAAAGATGGGTCCAGTAAGAAAGCAGAAATGAGCCGGCTGGGAGGGAGTGGGGGTTGGCTCCGTTCCGGTCCCCCTGGGTGGGGCTGTAAGAGATCCCCCAGGTCTCTTCTCACTTCTGCACCTCCCACCGAACCCCAACCCAGCCGAGGCCCACAGCCGTTTCTCCCAGCTCACGATGCACAGGCAGGTACATCCAGGAGGAAAGGGCCACATAAATAGGAAACCACACAGGGAGGAGGCTGCTTCTTTCTGTTGCTCTTAAAAAAATACAGACTATATATATATATAGCTACAGTCTTCTACCTCTCCTTTTCTTCAATGTTTGACCACATCAGGGGTGGAGGAAAGTTAGCTCTGGGGGGATGTCTGGGCCAGGAAGGGGCAGTGTCACCAGCCCTCCCGATAGCCACCCCCTCACCCCTAAAGGCACCAAGCTACAACCCTCCCCTCTCTCCCTGTGCACCTCACCCCACGCAATCTGTTTCCAAGGCCACCGGAAAGGGGGTGTTTTGGGGTTTGTCTTGCCTGGTTTGTTTCCTTGGAGATTTGGGGTTTGGCGCCAAAACTGCCAGCTTACTGGAGGAGAGGAAGAGGTGGGGTGGAGGGGAGGAAGAGGTGGGATGGGGGGCAGAGCAGAGGTGCCCACATAGGGGAGATTGATCCTATTTGTTAACAATGCCCTTTGTTTTCCTATTTTTCAACAGCTTTTAAACCCAAAATTGTGCAAAGTCCTGTACATGGAAGAAAAAAATGGGTCTTTAAGAAAGACATCAAAGACCCACCGCTCCTCTCTGACCAGAGCGGGGAGAGGAAGGAGATGACTCCTTGAGTTCTTCCCTCTAAAGCCACAAATATTAAAACATTCCCCCCACTTTCTTTGTTTTAACCCTCAAATCGTAAATGAGGGCTACAAGTGCGGGGCGCAGGCCGGTGGAGGTCCCCACCCTGAGTCCCAGTCGTGATGTCCAATGTCTTTTTGGCAGAGGGGATGCTCAGGAAGAGGGGAACCACAGGTGGCTTGAGAGGAGCCAGGCCTGGCAGGTTCTGGCATCCACAGTGCCTGGTGTCCCAGACCAGGTCTGACCTGCAAACACTCCCCAGTCCTCCAGTCTGGGAAACAAGTACTAAGTTTTAGAGGCCGGAATGTGATGAGCCATTTAAAGCCAATCCAGGCTCCTGGAACAGAAGGAGAGGAGCTGTCCCAGCTGGAGTGGAGTGCCCCAACATCTGCAAGGGTACCCCAGTGTCTAGGGAGAGAGAGGTTCAGGGGACATCCTTGGTCCATGCAAATGTCATCTGGAGCTCTTGGGTCCCTGGAGAACGGGACAAGGGAAGGGGAAGGGGTGTTCCTTTTCCCCTGTGCTCCTCGATGATTCCTGAGTGTTGGCTAGGACAGAGACGCCTTCTGTCTGGTCCCCAGAGTCCTTTGTGGGAGGTTCAGGCCAGGTGGGTGCTCAGTACACAGCCCCAGGATTGGGCGGGGGCCCAGGGGAGGCATGGTGCAGGGTGGCCGGCTGAGGTGGCTGCTGCTGTAAGTGGGGTCCACTCAGGTTCTGTGCATGGTACCAGGAGTTGGTGGGGTCGTCCAGGTAGCTGGGGGAGGCACTGTATGGGAGCGGAGGGGGCAGCTGACTTCGGGCAGGGGCCGGAGTGGAGTGGGAGGAGGTGTCCCAGAGGGCAGGTGATGGTGGTGAGTTGCAGGCCATGGAATCACTGTTGTTGGGGCTGTGCTCCAAGGGCACCTCCCCATTCTTATAGAGCTTCTTGAATTTGGAGCGGCGGTTCTGAAACCAGATTTTCACCTGCACCAGAGAAGAAAGGGGATCTAGTTAGCCTCTGAGAATGCTAAGTGAAACCCTGTGGGAAATCCAGCCTAGAGAGGGCAAGGACAGCCCCAATGCCACCCGGCAGGACCCCGCAGAACCCTGGCCAGCATATTTTCTTTTTTTTAAAATCCTCACCCTCGGACATTTTTCCATTTATCATTAGATAGAGAGGGAGGGAGGGAGAGAGAGAGAAACATCAATGTGAGAGAGACACATCAACCAGTTGCCTCCTGCACGACCCGACCAAGGCCCAGATGAACCACAATGGAGGTACCTGCCCTTGACTGGAATCAAACCTGGGACTCATTGGTCTGCGGGTCGATGCTCTAACCGCTGATCCAAACCGGCCAGGACCAGCATTTTTTTTTCTATCTGGGATAGAACTATGGCAAGGAACTTTCAACTGCCTGGCTCCAGATTCCACTCTGCCACTTACTATGTGTGTGACCTTGGGCACATTGCTTAACCTCTTGGGGGTTCTTTCCTTCCTCATCTGCAAAACGGGGATGGTCGCAGCACTGTTACCTACCTCATGGGGTCTTTATGACACTCAAAGAAGTGAAGAGAGACAAAGAACTTAGAGCAGCCTGGTATATAGTAAGCACCCAATAAAAGGCAGCCCAGGTGGGCAATGGGCAGTTTGTGGCCTTTTATTCACATTAGAAACCCAGACGCACACAGATACACAGAAACAAACACACACCCACACAAGGATCTCCATGTGAGGAACATACCCACTCACACAGACACCAGACTATAAAGATACACACATGCATAGATATACTCCTAGATAAACACCCACAAACTTGAGCACCCATGATCACACACTCAGGCATGGAGGAGACCTCTGGGGCTTTCTAATGGGGGTGACTGGGGGACTCAGGAGCAGGTAAGCCACAATTCCCAAAATTTCCCTTGGGGTATCTCCCCCTCCCCCTGCCGCTCTCCACCCCATGACTGATACAAACAATGAATCAGCTTCTCACCGGGTGACCCAGATTCCCAGCGGACCGGGCCCCACGCAGCCGCAACCCAGGCCAGCCTGTCAACACCTGCAGGGAGCCAGGCAGCCACCACTCCTCCCCTGAGCAGTGACAAGCTGCTGGGGGCTTTAGGGACAGGCTGAGGGTGGGGCTCCCACCTTTGAATTCCTATCCCCCTCTGCTACTCTCTCTTCTCTGCTCCAGGCAGAGGAAGGGGTGGAGCATTTGGGTGATGAACAGCAATGTGGTGTTTTGAAGCAAGTACACATTTTTTGTACATGCATTCACCAGTGTGCAGTCACGTCCATGTGCCCCTCCATCCACAAACACAATGACCCTTGAAAGGTCACACTCCTTATGTGAGCATTCTCACGTGTACACAGATACATTAGCATGTGTGCAAATATTGTACATGCATATGCATGTGTATGTACTCCTCTATACACACATGCCTAGACTGAGGGAGACACCTGTGGACTCCTATCAAGTGATTGACCAGCACTGTTGTGGGTATTGTGGGAGTTGGGGATTCTGGGATAGAGGGAGGACACCTCTCCTGGCGACACACACACACCAGTTGCACAGGTTCACAAATATGCATGCCTGTACCCGTGCTAATGCAGAAACTTCTGACAGAAGTTGAGACTTGGGGGCCCCTCTACCCACAGGGTTTCAAGGGCCTGCAGGGAATTTAAAAGGCCAGTCAGGCTCCGTAGTGCCTGGGGAGTTCGGGGTCCCGCGCGCAACCCTAGATAGCCCCAAACTGACCTGTGTCTGCGTGAGGCCCAGCTGCGCAGCCAGCTCGGCGCGCTCGGGCAGCGCCAGGTACTGGGCCTTCTGGAAGCGGCGCTGCAGGGCCGCCAGCTGGTAGCTGGAGTAGATCGTGCGCGGCTTTCGGACCTTCTTGGGCTTCCCGTTCACCATGCGCACCTCGGCTTCCGGCTCCTCCTTCACCGACACTGAGAGCAACGCACGGGGCGAGGGGTGGCTCAGTCTCGGCCTGCGACCCCGGAGTCCTCTAGGGCCCCGCGGGACGCCCCACCCTCCGGCCCACTGGCTCCCCCGAGATTTCCCGTCTGCGCGCTCCGCCGCCGGAGCCCCGGGAGGGAGCGGCGGCAACAGAGCCGACCCGCGGCCGCCCACGACGCGGCGCTCCCAGCTCCCAGCTCCCAGCTCCGCGCCCGGCCCTGAGCACGGCCCCCGGCGCCAGCACCGCCCGGGCCAGGACGGCGCAGCTTCGCTCACGACGCCTTCCCGGCTGGCCTCCCAGCTCGCCGCTCCTGGACGCCGGTCTGCTGGCAAACCCTTCTCTCCCCACCTTGCTGTCTGTTGCTTCTTTCCTCTTTCCCGTCCCTTCTTCCTTCTTTTTACACTTTTTATTTTAGGATAACTTTCGATTTTCGGGAAAGTTACAAGCATAGTACAGACCCCTTCCTTCCTTCCTTCCTTCCTCCCTTCTTTTTTCTGTCCTTTCCCCCGTTCCTTTCTTCCATCCTTTCTCTCATTTTGCCTCCACCTTTCTCTTTTTCATCTCCTCCACTTCTCAGTCGCTGCTTCCCTCTGTTTTTCTGTAATTCTGGGGTGTCTCTCTCCATGTCCCCCTCACTATTCCTCCTTTCCCCAGCCCAAATCCAGAGGGCCCCTGGAGCTTCCAGACACCGACGCCTACCTCCGAGCCCTCTGCAGCCAGGTGGAGGATCGTCTACTGAGGTTCCCTGCGAAAGCACCTCAACCAGGAGGCTCCCCGACAATCCACAGCCCCCTTCGTCCTCCCCTAACTCTCCCCGAGCCTCACCGGAGACCGCGGCTCGCAGCGAGCACTGCGCCCCAGACACGCGCAGTCTCGGACCGGAAGGTCGTTTGCTTCCCCTTGGAGTCATCTAGCCCACCTTCTCTAACCCCAGACAGTGCCCGTCTTATCGGCGACGCGTCCCTAGATTTCCATTTCAATTCCCCGCCTTTCTTTCCCTGGGGAACCTTCCAGTGTCTCCCTCTGTTCCGCGACTCCGTGGTCCTCACCTGGGTCCTGGGCGGGCAGCGGCTGCTCCCGGTACCCTCCGTACTGCCGGTAGGAGGTTCCATAGGTATATTCCGACTTGGGCGAGTAAGCGCCCGTGCTTGCAAGCCCGTTGAGATTGAACTGGTGATGGTAGGTGTAGGGGTTCACGGTCTGGCCATAGGGCTGGCCCGAATAGTAGTCGTGCTGGGGAGCGCTGTAGTAGCCCAGGTCAGTGACGGAAGACTCGGGCAGGGTGGGTGAGTCCTTGGAGCCCGCATGGCAGCTAAGCGAGCTGGAGATATCGGTGAGGATGCTGCTGAGCTTGCGATCGAAGGAGCCACTCATCCTGGCGGGAGCCGCGCCACTCTGGGGCTGGCCTCGGCCGCGGGCAGGAGCGCGGTGACGGCGGTGGAGCCGAGGCGGCGGTGTGTTCGCAGGGCCGGAGGAGGGTCTCGCAGCGTCTCAGGGGAGGGGAGGCCGAGGGGCGCTTAGACAAGCGCCGGCCTGCGGACGGTCGCTGCGCACCTCTCGTCCCTTCCCAAGCCACTCAGTCAAATGCTGCCAGCTCCGCCCGGCCAGCCGGTTATAGACTCAGAGGAGTCTCGGAGGGAGGCTCCAGCGCTCTGATTGGCTGCAAGTCTTGCCTTCGAGGCAAAACATGCTCCTGTGCTCCTTCGTTCGCTTGCTCTCTCTCCTCTCTCTCCTCCATTCTTTGTTGTTACCAACACACACACACACACACACACACACACTCTCTCTCTCTCTCTCTCTCTCTCTCTCTCTCTCTCTCTCTCTCACACACACACACACACACACACACACACACACTGCTCCTCTTCTTGCGGTTCTCTCCCCCAGCCCTGGTAAACCCCACTGTCTCTGAAGGAAGAAATAGGGGGAGGGTGTCTGTGCAGAGACCCCAGGATCTGTCGGTCTGTCTGTCTTCCTGGCTGGGGGTTGGAAGGTGGGCTCAGGTGCAATGAGGAAGGAGGGGAATTTGCCCATTGGGTGTTTGTGGAGGGATGTGGTCCAAAGCGCGCGTGTGCCTGGGCTGTGCAAATGACAGCCAGACAAATGTGCCCAAATAGGAAAGACCCAGGGCCCATAAAAATGTTTTAATTTCCTTTAAAATCAAAAGAAAAAGAAAATTTAGGTTGAAGAAAATGTTTGAATGTATAATATTAATACATTTCCTTTACAGGAATGCAGTCATAAAACGTAATTTTATTTATTAAAAAATTTTTTTTCCTTTATTGATTTTAGGGAGAGAGAAAGGGAGAAGGCGAGAGAGCTAGAAACATCAATGAGAGAGACATCGATTGGCCCGCCTCCTGCTTGCCCCCACTGGCGATTTGACCCACAACCTGAGCATGTGCCCTCACCAGGAATCGAAGGGGTGACTCTTGATGCATGGGTTGATGCTTAACCACTGAGCCACACCAGCCAGGCGTAAAATGTAATTTTAAAACTTTTTTTTTTTTTTAATGGAGGAAGGGTTCCATCAGGCAAATATGCCTTAGGCTTACAAAAGTCATAATTCAGCCCAGGGAGCGTCTGTTGGAGAGGGCCGAGGGGGGACGTTGAGTGTGGATTTAGGGGATTATGGGGAGGGTGGGGGTGCACAGCCTGTGTGTAATGATATTAGAGCTATTTCTGAAACTACGTGCATGCAGTTTCAGAGGTCACCCAGGAACAGGGAGGGGACTTGGGGCCGCACGACGTTGGGTGAGACACAGTCTGGTTCTCTGTTTCAATATGTTTGGGGGCAGATTCTGTGCATTTGGGACACCACTAGGGAGTGTGGGCATTTTTAGAGATCAGGTATATGGGACGGGTGTACCTGGGTGTGTGATGTGAGGATTTCCTGAGGTGCTGAGGTGTGTGTGAGTGTAGGAGTGTGTGTGGGGTGTGGGGGGTGTAAGCGGTGCGAGTGGAGATCCCTGGGACGGCTTGTCAGTGCGTGAATATGTGCTTATACGCAGAGGTGTATAGACCGCTCAGTCCCTCCCATTCCCCAGTACCTGGGAACCACCATGCTCTATTGAACCTCTTCCTACCCCCAAAAGGCTCCCCTCCCTGGAGACCTCCCCCAGATTCTAGCCTTGTTTGGCCTACAGGCCAGGCCTTTAGGTCATCCAAGTTGTTCCCAACGCCTAGCCCATTTCTCCATTCCACCCCTAATTCTGCTCTTGCCTTTCTTTGGGAGAAGAAGGAGCTCCCCCAAATCTCACTTCTTAGCCGCCTGCAACCTTCACACAGCCACCGAGTCCGTTCGGTACCATCTCCTGCCTGACCCATCCCGGGACAGGCAGTGCCAGCGCGCCACCTTGTGGTCATGCCTGGGCTCTGTAGCCTCCCCAGGCCTCTCCAAGCGGGGGGAGAGGTCTCCCTTATAGACTATGTCAGTGCAGCGGGCTCTGTGCGCCTTTCCAAAGTCAGACTCCCGGAGAAGGCTGCCAGGGTTCCAAGGGCTTTGAGAGCTGCAGTTGGCAGAGACTGAGGGTCACAGTCCGCGTGCCGAGGGGCAGGAGTGCCCGCCAGGTCTGAGCGGCTCCGGGAGGCCTCAGCATGGGAAAGGTGGGGGCGGGGGCCAGGCGAGGGGAGCGCTATCTGTCTGTCGATCTCCGCGTCCCCCCAGCGCCTATCGCCCGCCGCTCCGAGCCCGTGGCGGGGCGAGTTGCCACCCGCTTTGGATGCCCTCTGTTCTGTTGCCAAGAGGGTGCCAAGAGAGCCCAAGGCGTCAGGGGCAGGAAGGGCACTGGGCAGGCCGGTTCCCCTCCCAGGATGGAAGCGGGGGAGGGGGGAGGCGTGCAGGGCCAGTTTGGAGCTTCAGCTCCCCACAGAGAAGGGACAGGGAGGGACAAGCCCCTTCCCTGGCTCTCTCTCTCTCTCTCTCTCTCTCTCTCTCTCTCTCTCTCTCTCTCTCTCTCTCCAACCTACGCGAAGAAGACCAGGTGATTCAGAGATGGCAGGGGTCTACCTTCCTCAGGAGGTCCTCACAGAAGCCTCACTTTTTCCTACTCACTTCCTCCTTTACCTGTGGCTCCCGAGTAAATGGAATGAATGAGCACTGGACTGGGAGCTCAGGAATCATGATGTTGGTGGTGGGTTACATTAGAGTGATTTCTATGCTCCACTTTGCTCTGAAAGTCTACGAGTTCTAGAAATGGACTAAACCTGCAGCATTAGGGACTTCAGTGAGCAATTGGTAATGTGAGGTTAACATCTGGTCCCCCATCACTCTGTGTGTTGTAAGAGAGCAGGGACTGTATCTGTCCAGTTCACTGTACCTTCCAGATACCTCGGGCAGATCCTGGCACACAAAACCTCAGTGCTATTAGATGTTTGTTGAATGAATAAGTGAGATTCCCTAATACTAGAGAGCAGTTGAATCATCCTGGCTAGGGAGGTTTGCAGGGTTAGGGAAAGGGGAAGCATGAAGCAGGCACTGCCACCAAACTGCCCCACTCCGGGTACGGGCAGGGGCAGATTCCCAGATGAGGCCATTATGGCTGAAAGGGGCCTGTCAGGCCAGCAGTACTGGAGCCACCAGCCACTGGGCGGGCACCTGCTGGCTCAGGGTGGCGAGGTTGCTGGAGGTTGTAGTGGGACCAGTGCCACCCACTGCACCTTGTCTGGGCCAACAAGATGAGCAGGTATCAGCCTGACCAGAGTCCTGCCCCTGGCGGCAGGGTGTTGCAGGGCAGTCTGTCAAGGGCCTCTGGGAAGCTGGCCCAAAGGAGAAGGGGCAGTGCTGGTCAGTGCCCAGGTAAGGGTCCATTACCCACCCTCTACCTGGCATGAGAAAAGGTATCCTGTTAAAGAAAGCTGTTTCCTGGGGCTCAAGTATCATGTCACCTGGGCACAGCCACAGCAACTGGGTTCACAGAGTGCCAGGTCTGATGGGAGGAACTCGGGCAGGAGGATGGAACCAGAGGGTGAACCCGGACCAGAGCTTGCTCTCTCCGTTTCCTGGGATCTGGCGCCACCTAGTGGTAAATGTAAGGAAGCCAGAGTCCAGCTCAACTGGGGAGACTTAGGAAATCGACCACATGCAGAGGCCCCAACATCATACCCAGAAGGAATATTATCTTTACTTAATTCAGGAGTCTTATCAGCACTAAACATTCACTTTTCATCATCACCTTGCCTTACTCTGCAGCTTCTGCCTCTCCCTTCTCCCATCCATCCTTGTCTAGCCAGTGGCTCCTTTCCTTGGGCTTCTCATTTGTAAATCAACAGGTGTCCTCCGCAGTCCATTTAAGCTATGATTCTAAATTCCAGGACTTTTGTCTGTCAGGGGGAACCCCCTCTACCTTCTTGTCCACTCCCTTGGAGGTACATCCCAGGCCTCTAACCCTTTGCAGCCTCGATGTCCTTCATCCATTCAACAAATATTTTCTGAGTTTCTACTATGCTAGGTGCTAAAGATGGAATGATGGACAAAACAGACACAATGTCCCCTCCATGGAGCTCAAGGTTCAGTGGGATATGTGCTGAGATGGGGTAGCAGACACTGCGGTGACAGCCCAAGGGGGCCTCGAACCCTTCATGAAGGCAGGAGGATATCTGAGCTGAGACCTGAAGGCTATAAGGGACTTGGCCAGGAAAAGCAGGGATGAGGGGGAGGAGAGGGCTTCCAGCCACAGGAAAATCCTATACAGAGGCTCCTGGGACTGCCCTGGCATAACATTGGGGGAGGGGTGGCTGAGTGCACCTGGGAACCATGAGCAGAATGGGCTTTATCTAGACGGTGTGAGGAAATGCTGAAAGATTTCAACCAAGGGAGAGACGGAACCAGATTTGCATTCTAAAAGGGTCCCACTAGCTGCTGTGTGGGGGTAAGTCAGAGGGGACAGGATTGGAGGCTGAGCGGCTCCTGCAGAGAAGGCCACGCAAGAGGGGAGTTGGGTCTGAGTTAAGGAAGAGGCAGTGGGGTGGAGGGCAGTGTGGGTGTGGATTTGAAAGATAGAAGGCGGTCTAGTGATGGCACGTGGATGTTAGTAATAAAGAGAGGGGAATAGCTGGGAATAACCCAACCCCTGATCTTGGCAACTGAGTGAAAAGTTGGAACCTTCCCTGAGAGAGAACACTGGGTTACTTGATGGGGAAGAGGATGTGTCCTGTTCATGTTTTTATTTTTGGAACTTTTGATTTGAGTCTAACTTGCATGCAGAGAAGTGCAGAAATCACCATCAGTGAATCTCACAAGCCAAATACAGCTGTGTAACTAGCACACAGGGTGAGTACCACGCTGAGAAACAATGTTACCAGCTCAGCAAGGGTAAACTCTGTCTTAGCTCCTAGCTCCACAGGACAATGTTGCATATCTTTGACTTTTATAAATGAAAGTATACAGTATGTACTCTTTCATGTCTAGTTCCTTTTGCTCAACATTCTCTTTGTGAGATTTGTCCATATCATTGGCTATATTCGCAGATCATTCACTTTCAGTACCATGTATGGGTATTCTTTCATATGAATATTCCACCGCTTATTTATCTGTTCTACTGTTGATGGGTATTTGGGTAGTTTCCTGTTTGGGGCACTCATGAATGGT